CTGAAAGGTTGCAGATGCGTTGCATAGACCAAAATGCATCCTTCTAAATGAAAATGTACCATAGGGACATGTGAAGGTTGTTTTCTCCTGGTCTTCTGGAGCAATGACTATCTGATTGTACCCGAATATTCTTCCAGAAAGCAGTAATGAGAATGGCTTGCCAACCTCTCTAACATCTGGTCAATGAAGGGTAATGGGAAGTGATCTTTTCTTGTAGCATTATTCAACTTTCTATAATCTATACATACTCTCCATCCTGTTACTGACCGTGTTGGTATTAGCTCATTGTTCTCATTCTTCTCTACTGTAATTCCACCCTTTTTAGGGACTACATACACTTGACTCACCCAAGAACTATCAGAGATGGGATAGACAATACTTGCATCTAGCAATTTCAACACTTCCTTTCTCACTAGTTCTTTCAGAGTTGGGTATAATCTGCTTTGTCCTTCCATTGTTGGCTTTGACTTGTTCTCCATTAAGATTTTGTGCATACACAAAGTAGGACTGATTCCTCTTATATCAGCTATTGTCCATCCAATTGCAGTTTTGTGCTTTCTGAGTATCTCCAATAATTTATTATCCTCCTCCTTTGTCATCTCGTCTGCAATAATTATTGGAAGTGTTGTAGAATCTCCCAAGTATGCATAACGTAGGCGTGATGGCAATGGCTTTAACTCAAGAATTGGGGCTTTTTCTACTGATGGTACTAGCGGTGATTGGTTAGTACCTAGAGATTCATATTGCCAATGTCTCTTTCCCACTGGTTATTCTATCAAACGTACAACACCTTTTGTTTTTTCCATATTATCTACCTCTGATTGTGCAATATTTGCCTCGCATAGAATTTCTGGTTGTGCTGCATCAAATGTATCGGTCACAAGCTCATCGAGCACATCCACTTGGCATAAGGTGTCTGGGGTCAATGGGTATTTCATCGCATTGAATACATTGAATATGACATGCTCATTATCAACTTGAAGAACCATCTTTCCATCATATACATCAATCAGTGCTCTCCCAGTGGATAAGAATGGTCTTCCCAAGATGAGAGGAATATTTGAATCTTCTTCCATGTCCAAGATAATAAAATCTGCCGGGAAGATGAATTTATCAACTTTGATCAGCACATCTTCAATTATCCCCTTTGGTCTTTTGATAGATCTGTCAGCCAGTTGCAAGGATATTGTTGTAGGTTTAGCTTCTCCTAATCCAAGAGACTTGTAAATAGAAAGTGGCATCAAATTAACACTCGCACCTAAATCACATAAAGAATGCTCAAAATAGTTAGAACCAATAGTGCAGGGTATAGTAAAACTCCCTGGATCCTTTAGCTTAGGAGGTAGCTTTTTCAGAAGAATTGCACTACATTTCTCGTTCAAGCAGACAGTCTCATTTTCCTCCAATTCTCTTTTGTTGGACAAAATCTCCTTCAAGAATTTTGCATAGCTGGGCATTTGGGCTATTGCATCTACAAATGGCATATTTATGTGCAATTTCTTGAAAATCTCCACAAACTTGGCAAACTGCTTGTCCAACTTCTTTTGTTGCAACCGTTTGACGGGGCTTGACGCTCTCACTGTGCATATTTCTTTCCTTTCTTCCTCCTCGTGAGTGATTGGTTCAGACTCTCCTTTTTTCTCCGCCTTTTCAACCATTACTTCCTTATCTGTTCTTTCTGGTCTCTTCACATGTATCTCTGGAAGTTGTACCTCACTTCTGGTTGTAATAGCTTGCACTTGCTCTTTTGGATTGACCATTGTGTTGCTTGGCAATGTCCCTTGTAGGCATTCTGCAAGCTGTTAACCTATCTGTCCAATTTGAGTTTCCAGTTTCTTTATGGATGCTTGCTAATTCTGAAAGTTAGTGTCAATCTGCTGGAACACGTTATCTTTGTTTTGCATGTATTGGTTAAACATCTCCCCCAAACTTAGTTTTTTCTCTAGCTGGTTATTGTTTGAACTGCTCCCTTGCTGGTTATCCGACCATCTGAAGTTTGGGTATTGCCTCCATCCTGAGTTATATGTTTGTGAAAAGGGATTAAAATTTCGAGAGCCATTTTGAATGAAATTGACTTGCTCCTCCAGAAATCCTAAAGATGTGCAATTTTCTGTTAAATGATTAGCCCCACAATTTTCGCATGATGGACTGGCTATCACTGTATGTGCTCATTTTGTTTGTGACTTCACCAATAACTCTACTTGTTTTGTTAAAGCTGCTATCTGGGCGTTGGTAGATGTTGTGCTGTCTAACTCATATATTCCCGCTGTTTTTGGAGGCACCACTCTTTCTGATGAAAACATGGAATGAGTAATAGCAATCAACTCAAACAGGTCCATACAGTGTTGCACTGATTTTCCTATGATTGATCCGCCTGCAGAGGAATCTACTTGAGATTTGGACAGTGGTAAAAGTCCAGTGTAGAAATACTACACTTGATTTTCAATAGTGATCCCATGATTTGGACACTTCCTCATCAACTCTTTAAATCTGTTTTATGCTTCGTGATAGCTCTCCCCATCTTTTTGTTGAAATGTTTGAATTTTCAGTCTAATTTTTGCTACCTTAGCTGGTGGGAAGAACTTGTTGCAGAATTTTCTGGTCAATTCCTACCATGTGATAATACTTCCATCAGGTTCGGCATCAAGCCATTCAAATGCTGCATCTCTTAATGTATATGGGAATAATCACAGCTTGATGGTGTCCTCTTTAACCCCAGGAGCATGAAAATTCTGACAGTTTCTGAGAAATCTGGAAATATGTGTGTTCGGGTTCTCATGAGGTAACCCGTAGAATTGGAGAGTGTTGCTCATCAAGTTAATCCAATCTGACCTAATCTGAAAATTATTCACTCCAAAATCTGGATACACAATACTGGAGCGCATGGGTGCTACTATAGGTGTCAGGAACATTGAAACTGGAAAGTCTCCTTCATTTATTTCTCTTTGCTCATGCTGTTGTTCCGGTGGTGCTGCCACTCTTGCGGCCATTTGTCCAATCGGCTGAATAGGGATAGGAAATTGTTGATTGTCAGCCATTTGATGTTGCTGTTTTTATTTGTGTTCTTTGCGTCTTCGTCTAAAAGTACGTTCTATTTCTGAATCAAGCGGTTCAAGATCGTCACCTTGGGTACGGAGCATACAACGAACACAATTTTTTTTTTTATATAAAATAACAATTAAAAAAATAAGCTAAAACCTAAAGTAAATAGTCCCCGGCAACGGCGCCAAAAACGTGTTGTCGATTTTATCCCTCAAGTGTACGGATCGTAGCAAGTAGTAAAGTGGACCTTTATAGTCCGAATTATCTTTCCCACGAGGACTATACTTTGGCACTCAATTTATTATTTCTAAGTTCTATTTGACAAAAATAAACGAAAACAATGATTACACGTGATTTTTGTTCTAAATATTTAAAAACGTGATTGGATGCAACGAAAGGTGATTGAAAATTCAAATAATAACGGACGTTAGGGCGGAACAATTTTACCTAATGGGCACCTTTACTTCATAAATCAAGATTCATACAACCTAAAGTAGTGTTCGTTCGAATTCTTCTATGGTATTCAACTCACTCCTCTCGAGTTCTCGTTGAGCCTATATTAGTTCAATTTCATATCTCTATACAAATTAAATTTAATTAAACGCAACATTGTTTTTAAGAATTCGCGCATGACCGCAGCAATCAATATAGGTATCTCTACACGTTATATCAATTTACCGGATTTTAACTTGTGGTCTAAACAAATAATCCGCATCTCTACGCAATCATTATTTACAAATCATCTAATTAGTAATCAAGTAATTAAATGCATTAAGAACAACATTAAAATCAACACATATTAAATAAAAGCATTAGAATCTTAATTGCATGAAATAAAGGGTTCCAAAAGATTACGTTGTTCGCCCTAAATCAAATCTAGCTACTCATAATAATGGAAAAAACGCAAGATAAAATAATGGAAGACATCACTGGGATTAATTAACGAAACGTGAATGAATTTCCCAATTTTGCTCTAGCCATCTTCTCCTTCTTTTCTGCTCATATCTGTCGTGTGTATGCTATCTATTGTTTAATCTAGGAGCAGCCAAAATTGTGTTCTTTTTAATTCAGCCTATGCGTGTAATTTAATAGTATTGGCTACCGGCAACGTGTATCTCTTTCCTCCCAAATCGCCTCAAATTACGTGTGGTTATATAGAGCTAATGAAGGCAGCCAACAACTCAATTTTTTTCTCCCAGCAGTTGCCGTTTTCTATGTATAAATCTATTTAATTCAGCCCAATTGGTTTATGCCTCCAACAATCTTCTTCTCTCCTCAAATTTGCCTCCAATGCATGTATATAATTTAACAGCTCAATTCTTTTCTCTTATTTAATTCTGTTTGTATGAATTCCTTCCTCCAAGCAGTTGCAATAATTGAATTTTCTCCAGTTGGCCCCCCTCTTTTTTGGTGTGAAAGTGTGTATATATATTAAAACCTAGCAGCTCAACGTTTCACTTTAAAAAGGACTTTATTTCCAAGAATTTTTATCTCCCAAAGCTGCCGAGTACCGTGTGCTTTATAAATTATTATTTTTTCTCCAAGTCCTTGATTTTCAAAGTGTGAAATTTGATCTCCGACTTCCATCAACGGCCAATTTAATCCTCGTGCTTTGGATTTTGTCGCTTTTCACCAATTTTTGCCTCTTTCCTTCAATTCCTTTTCGTTCATAAAATTTACCTATCAAACGTTAAATACAAGAATTAGGATATAATTTGTCAAAAGAAATATTAAATATCAATATTTTAGGCATGGAATAAATGTATAAAATACACTTATCAATGATCTGACCTGGACTTCTACATAGGTTGGTGCTCATAAAATATACATGATTTAACTGAGGTTGAAGTTTGGGGCCCAACAGTTACTCCCAAGGCCAGTGCTCATCTAGATGATGGATTGGCCTTGGATATCGTTGGTATAAAGTGATTGACAAGTTACATTGTCTAATTGGGAGAGCTGTCCGTTACTTCATTTAGCTTCCCTTGGAAGCTTAGTATCAAAACTTCGTCGTTTTGACTCATCAAATTTAGGCCCTTTGTTTCCTTCCTTTTCTTCATCCAATAACCCTGAATCCTTCTCTTCGTTATCTCCATTTTAAATTTTCCTTTTTCTTTTGATTTCCACACTTTTGCTCTCAAGTTTTTCTCTCTTAAGGAAGCAAAATTTTCCTCGCATTCTCATCTTCTTTCTGATTGTGGTCGTCTATCCCCAGGTATTTTTGTACCTTTATTTTTCTTGTATTTTTACTTCGGTCATTGCATGAGTTCGGATGATTCTAGGATACATTATTGTTATAATCAGCAGAAATATTATGTACTTTCTACTCTCACCCATTCTACTAGCTTGGACTATCAGAAGATCTTAACTTTACTTCCAATTTATATAGTCAATCTGGGAGATTTAGGTCATCCTAGGATCATGGAACAAAACCCTAAAGGTGCTAGGAATTCTAGAAAAAACAAAAAAGTTGGGTCTCATGATGGTGATTAGGGAATTTTTTCTGAAGAGTTGAAGGCTAATTCTTTTAAGGTGGTAATGATGGGAGATTTGTTGGCAAGCTGAAGGGGTTTGATTGAGTTAGCGGCCCCCAGTAAGGTGTGAAGCTCTGAACTACACCACCCTAAATGTCGGCTTTAGACTTCCATTCCCTAGGGTCATCCATAGGTTTCTTTCTTTCAGTAAAGGTAGTGGTCGTAGCTTACAAAAGAAAAAAGGAAAATCTCTGCTAAGGTAGTTCAAGCATGGTCGTTCTGAGGAATCACAAACAAGGTCGACTCCCGTAGCCTTATCTCCTGTGTAATCTTTACATCTGGTACCAATGTAGAGGTCGACTCATGTTTCTATTCCTCTTACCATCACTATTGTGGCAGGCTCCTTGAGGTCATAAGAATGGTGCCCAAATCTACGGAGGCCTATCATTGATTTCTTGGTGGGCTGAAGACCTTGGATATTCCTGGACTTCCTCAAACCTCCATCACGATCCAGGAAGTTGATAGCTACACTCTCTTTATCCCCTTAGAGACTCCACCAATCTCCTCACTAGGAAATGGAATGAGTTGAACTAAAAGTTCATTTTCTAATACATTCTATATATGATGTTAGTGACGGATGATGTGTTTGAGCTTGCGTAGTTTAGAAACTTTTGCTTTGTTTTATAACCCAGATTATTTTCTTCTTTCAGGTGAAGGCTGAATTGGAAAAAAAGGTTAGAGGTAAAGAATCAGACCTTAAGCTTTTTCCAAAACATGGAGGCTGAAAGGCTAAGATTTGTTGGGAAAAAAGAAGAAATACAAATATCACCTTAATAAGATGGGGATTGATTGGAGGCGAAGTTAGCCTCAGAACTGGGCCTCGTGGATGAGATTAAAGCCTTGAAGATTTAGGGAAGAAAGGCAAACGAGAGGGTCTCTACTGAGGAAAATAGAGCTGAAGAAGCGAGAGCTAAGGCTAACGAAGCTATGAAGAGGGCTGAAGAAGCTACCAAAAAGGTAAAAGAGGTTGAAGCTAAAGCAACTAAGGAAATGGATCTTTTGAGGGCCTTTCTTGAGTTCGACCTCTAGCTCAGGATGCCTATTAGTGGCCTTGGAGGAGTTTGTGAAACATACTGACAACGAGTGGCCAGGTTTTGACATTGCGTTTTTTGGTAGAGGTGTTAAAAGAACAGAAAAAGGAACAGAGAAAACGTCTGAGGCAGTTGGGTTTCACATCTCTCTTGCCGATGAAGATGTTGAAGATGAGGTCGTTGCTCAGAGAGATCCCCTAGTTCGTTAGCTCCCACTTTTTTTATGCTGATGCTAAACACTATTTTTAATTTGCTTATAATAGACATTTAGCTAGTAAATGGATATTCTATTGCATGTCAATTCGATTTTTTGCACAAATTTACAATGTTTATGATTTCCTTGAAAGGTGAATCGTTATTTTAGCTTGCTTTAGGAGCAATGCCTTTGTAATTTCTTGAAGTATTGCTACACATGTAACCTTAGGTTGGCTTGCTTATGAGCAATGTCTTAGTGAATTCCTTAAGAGGAAACTTATCTAAGTGTTGCAGCTCATGCAACTTTAGGTTGGCTTGCTTTGGAGCAATGCCTTTGTAATTTTCTTAAGTGTTACAGCACATACAACCTTAGGTCAGCTTGCTATTGAGCAACACCTTAGTGAATTCCTTAAGAGGAAACTTATCTAAGTGTTGCAGCACATGCAACCTTAGGTCAACTTACTTAACGGCAATACCTTTGTAATTTCCTTTAAGTGTTACAACATGTACAACCTTAGGACAACTTGCTTATGAACAATGTCTTAGTAAATTCCTTAAAAGGAAACTTATCTAAGTGTTGCAACATATGTAACCTTAGGTCGGCTTGCTTGAGATTTTGGGGACTATGTTATACAAAAACTCATTTTTTTAATTACCATGGAAAGGTTTTTATAGTAAACTAGGTTTTCTTTTCATTAATGATGGTTCTTAAGATGCTCAGCATTCTAAAGGTGCATTAGAGGTCTTCCTTCCATATCTTCCAACTCATAAGCTCCTCTAGAAAAGATCTTAATCACACTATAGGGTCCCTCCCAGTTGGGACCTAGGGATCCCTAGCTAACTTCTCTTTTAGCGAGGAAGATCTTTTTTAGAACTAGGGAACCGGCTTCAAATTCTCATTTTCGTACCTTCTGGTTGTAATACTTGATATTAAATTACTTATCTATAGCATTTCTAAGTTTAGCTTCATTCATCCTCTCTTCTATTAGGTCCAACTCTCTACGAGAAGTTTTTTCATTTCCCATCTCGTCATATGCCATTGTTCGAAAAGAAGGGATCCCTGTTTCTACACCAAAAGCTAAAAAAAAAAGGGGTTTCTCTGATGCTGGTCCTAGTTGTAGTGCACTAAGACCATAGCACATAGGATAGACTCTAACTTGTTTTAACCAGTCTTTAATGATAACCTAAAAGTCCATATAGCCTCAACTGTAGCTGACTCGCCATAGTCCAATAGATGAATTTTTCAGTATCAATTGGCTTTCGACTACTCAGTCAACTTTGCATAGATCTACTTACATAAGTAGGGGCACCGAAATTTATCCAGCAAGTGTGTCTTGATATTGAAACTAAATTAACCTCGAAACCAACCAAAGGAAAAAGTGTATTTTTTTTATTCGCAAGTATGGTATTTAGTACAATCTTTCTTGATGTGTCCAGAATTTTCACAAAAGTAACGGCCATATGATTAAATTTTTTCAGGCTTTTGTTGTTCCTTTTGAGCTAAACCAAATACATCGTCCTTATTCTTTCTTTTCTTGAAGTTATCATTAAAGGGATTTGCCAAATAAATACTTTTAGCTATCTCTTGCTCTAACATCTCTTCCTCTTGCACATAGTATAAAATGAACTCATTAAGAACCCACTTCCACTTTTGACAATTATAATTAACCTTAAAGTGGCTGAATTGTGCAGGAATAGAAATCAAAACCAAATGCACAAGCAAGTTATCAGACAGCTCAAGCTTTAATGCCTTTAGTTTTGAAGTAAGATGAGACATCTCATGATGTACTCCCGTAGGTTTTCTTTACTTTATACATAGAAGTGTATTAGTGTCGACCTTATCACTTTTAGTGAAGCATTTTTCAATTTCTTCAAGAAATTCCTGGACAGTATTTATCTTATGAAACACAATGCCGCTGAATGTTACTAGAATTGCATGCTTCATGATAGTAAGACTTATGAGACTTGAGCAATCCTACTTATCTGAGTCCATTTTTCATCAGTGGAACTTTTATCCTTAATGGAGTAGGTTCTTCAGTTCGTAATGCAAGGTCTAGATCCATGTAGCCAAGAATGATATAAACGTTCTTTTTTCAATCTTTAAAATCTCGTTCCATTAGCATAGAAATTGAATTTATGTTGGCAGATATTGTAAAAATAGATGAATTAACCAAATACAGAACTTAAATAACATGTTTAAATGAAAATTTGCATTAGACAATCAATAATTTCAAATAATGGTGAGCCCCAAATCAAGAGACTAAACATAACATTAGTATTTATTTTTTGGACAGAAATATCAACTTGTAAATGGTACCATTGGTGTAATAATCAAATATTGATAATAAATTCTGTTAAACATCGAGTCTATCTTTGGACTGACTTAATGTTCACATAATAGAAAATTTTATGATCGTCACATATTTATTACCACGAGTGTGCATATAATTCCAAACGCAACACTATGATAATACTATAAGTCAGAAATTTTCCCAAAAATCTAAAAAAATAATTTGAAATTTAGTGTTCGAATTCATATTCCAAAATTTAGAATTAGTTTGAATTTCAACCCTAAATTTCTCTTTATTCTAAATGGCTTAACGTGCAATTGACACTGATACCACTTGCTAGAATTTTATTAAAACTTTAAATCTCAAGAATTTGAAAACTCTTTAGACTTTATTGCTAGAATTTTTCCAATCAAATTGTAACACTCCAAATTTTTTATAAACTTCGGAACCTTACGAAAAACTTATTTTTCTTTATTTTAAGTGCAGAACTATAAAAATAAAATTCTTTATTAAACAAATAACTGCAACATTTATAAATCTAAATTTAAAATATGAAAATTTAATCTAAACATAACATAAACTCCTAACTAATTCAAATAACACGTTTGGAACAAAATTAAACTAATTAGTAAATTTAAAAACATCAAATTTATTTATTTTTCTTTTCATTTGATCCACTTGGTAGCCCACATCACCGCCCTTCCACAATTCCAATCAAATCGTAATAACCTATAAAAATTTGTAAGAATGAGTATTCGAAAACATCCTAAGATACATGCAGTTTCCATATACACATATATAACAATAAAAATTATAATTCATACCACCTGATCTTATAGAGTATTTCGGTGATTAAGTGATACACCCATCGAAGGTCATTTTATAATCCCGTAGGATTTCATATCTCTTAAAAAAAATAAATATCTATTGACAATCCATGCATTTTTTATTTAACATAAACGCATAAGGAAACAAAAACACTTGCATTTAAAGTATCTTACCATGTTAGAAAAATCTAAAGCACGTTCCAAACCTTTTCTCCTTTTTGAAAAATACGTGATTAAAATATTCAATGTATGCAAACTTTATTTTCAATGCTACTCTCTCTCTCTCTCTCTCTTCTACCTACCGTCTGTGTGAATTAGTGTGAGTAAAACTTTTCATCATGCCTATATATATATAGGCGTAGATTAGAGTAGATAAACCAAAATTTGATTTGATAGGACCAAATATTGCAACCAATGTCTACTCACAATATACTTCATTATTATCTTATTCAACTACAAGATATCCACTATCTTTATCCAATCGTATATGGGTGTATGGTGAATTTTGTTGTAACTAGAATAATAGAATAGTGAAAACATGTGTCATCCTGAGAATCTCTAAATCAAAACTAATAAATAATGATAAAATCTCACCTCACATGTTTTCTTTTTAGAGAGAGAAAAATGAATTGATTTATAATCTATATAAAATTATATTTATACTATTTTCTTTCAATTGGGTCTAACTTAATATGTCCTTATCCAAAATAACTTTTTCTCGAGTCAAAAATTTTACTTAATTACGAGCTATCCAACGAGTACAATATTGATATATTTATAATTGCTTTATCAAAATCTAATTTATTTGACCCAGATAAAATAGGAATTTATATAATATACAAAATAAATAAATTTTTATCTATAAAATTTTTGGGTTGCTACAATCTACCCTCCTTAAGAGAATTTCATCCTCGAAATTTACCTGCGTTAGAATCTTCCGTGGCCTATCCTTGGACTAAAGTAAAAGCTCTGACATTTCCCTTCCTTTTTGACCTGTTATTTTTTTTCGAAAGGTCCTCTTTGCAGTTTTTGAAAATATGTCCGGTTTTACCGCATCTATAGCACACGTGCTTCCCATATAGACATTCACTCCTATGCTTTTTCTTGCACTTTGGACTTGGTGGAACGACTTATCCAAAACCTGGTCCGAAGTTAGCCTTCTTATTCGGTCCTTCTCTTTTCTCTTCGTTGGACCCATTCCATTTCCTCTTTCCTGAAGACTCAGCCCCTTGCTGGGGAGTTTGGTCAATTTTCAACCTATTTGAGATTGCTTGGATAGTCTGAATATTCGGCTATAGGTGGTGAATTGGTGGGATGCAAGTATTCCACCAATCTCAGGACGCAATCCCAATTCGAACCTTCTTGCTTTCTTTGCTTCAGTTTCCACTATGTTTGGTGCATACCTCAATAGTTGTTCGAATTTTCTCTCATAATCCTCAAGTTTCATTTTTCCCTGTTTAAGTTGAAGAAATTATGTCTTCTTTTGATCTCTCAGAGTTTGGGGTAGGTATTTTCCCATCACTTCGTCCTTAAATTGTGTTCACGTCAAAGCACGTTGATGTGCTTCTGTTCTAGTGCGAGATGCCGACTCCCACCAGTGGCCTGTAGCGTCAAACAACATGAATTTTACGCATAACACCTTTTGAGAATCAATGCAAGATAGATGTTTAAAGATTCGCTCCGTTCCTCTTATCCATTCTTCGGCTTCTAGTGGGTCTGCCTTGCCAACGAAGGCTGGGGGTTTGTAACGATGGAACTGTTCCACAATTGAGCTGATGTTGTTAGCATTTACACCATGGGGACCAGCCTGTGTTTGTTGCCTACCCAAGTCTTGTACCGCCCTTAGCAAATCCCTGATTATCGTAGCTTGATTTTGTTGTTGTCTCAACATTTTCTTAACACAAGTGAAATTCTAATTTAGGAATATTTAATAAAACGACCTAATATTATTAATAATCTTTGTAATAACGAAGAAATTTATAAATATAAATTTTCAAATTCTTACA